CTGCACTTGACACTTTGAAAGCCCATATCTCCATGAGTTTGCGATCCCACCCCAAGCCCTTCACACATGCTAAATGACTGCCCTAACCCTCTCTAAAGCCCTGCTAGGGTCACATAGATTCCCAAATTCCAGAGGCGCCACCAGCCAAAATTGCCCCGCACTTGCGCTTTGCGCCTCCTCACGCAAAAACGGCTATTGCAAATCCAAAACTTTTCTGCCACAAGACACTCCTCAATGTGCTCTACAAACTGGCTATCAAACATCTCCGACCCTAAAACGGCCCACCCTTGTAACCCTAACCCTAACTTAACCCTAACCTAACCCTTCCACAAAGAAGATCATCTGCTACCTGCTACAAGCCTTGTCTGTAGTGAAAGACAAGAAAACTTGACGCGTATAGTGGTGCAGCCACACCCGCTCACCAGCAGCAGTGCGCTCATTGTCCTTGCACAGGCCCATCTTTGAGATCTTGTCGCCGCTTGCAGGTACTTGTTCTGGCAGATCTAATTTGACCACATCAAATGCCCCTATCACAGCTCCCTGACGGTGCAATTGGTATCTCATTTGGCCGCATGCTCACTGTACACCAGCAGGTCAAAGTGTCGGTGCCAGGGACAATGAGGGGCTGTGAGCTGTACGCGTCATTGCTGACACAATGAGCGCGCGTACAGTGGTGCAGCCACGCCGGCACAAGACAGACGCGCTTGTTGTCCTTGCACATGCCAATCTTTCAGCGCTTGTCACCGCTTGCAGGCCCTTGTTCTGGCACTACCATCTTGACTGCGACAAATGCCCCTATCAAAGCTACCCAGTGAGCGTCTGAACAAGGCAATTGGTGAATGAGAGGCTCCAGACTGGGCCCTCAAAGTGTCGGTGCCAGCGCACCTGTTTGGTGAGAAGTTGACGCACATCACTCTTGGATTGTGCGTGTGTTCTGTGCTTGCTGAGGCACCATCTGAGCAAGCAAATTGCACCACACAAAATGCCCCTATCACAGCTCCCTGACAGTGCAATTGGTATCTCATTTGGCAGCATGCTTGCCGTACACCAGCCTGTCAAAGTGTCGGTGCCAGGGACAATGAGGGGGTGTGAGTGATGCTTGATGCGCAACAAAGGCGTGACGGCCACCACTGCAGGCTGGGGTGCGGCGTACAAATTGATGCGTGCAGCGGATAATTTACGCGTAGCGCGCGCGCCTGCATGGCCGTATGGGGCGCGCGCCCGTATGGCAGAGCACGCGTCCGTATGGCAGAGCACGCGTCCGTATGGCAAAAATCTGTCTGCGCACTTTTACGGCGTAAAATCTTGAAAATCAAGGTCCGCGGACGTCCGGACGCGTCTTTTTGACGGGGTGCGGCCTAGTTTACGGCGCAAAATCCTCGACTTATACCAGTAGGCGCCAGCAGGTCATCAGGAAAGACGGTCATGTTGTAGCCATCCAGATCTTTGGGCGCAGTCCAACGCGTGTTGATGGGGACAAGTGCGGCAGTTTGCGGCATGTTGGCAGCGCTGAGGAGCAGATGATGCATTGTATGGCGTCAGTCAAGATTAGCTGTGCGGCGCCGCACTTCACTCCACTCACAGGTGAGAGGCGTTGGAAGGCGCTGGTGTAGAGCGGTGAGTGAAGACTAAAAAGCGCTGAAGTGCACTTGTGTTGAGGAAGGAAGGGGATGGTGGTGGTAGTAAAGAGGAAGGAACATCCCTTGACAAGTGGTTGAAAAGGTTTTTTTCACAAATTTGACTTTTGACCAGTGTCACCACCAGTGCCATGTGGCAAATCAAGTGCGCCAAGCTGATACATTGTGCGCTGACAGAGGACAAGAGCGCTCAAGGTGAAGACAAGTGCACTCAAAAACAGCGCATGTCTTTGTAGCAGCGCTGTACTGCACTTTGTGCGCTGTGCTGCCAGGAAATGCAGCTTAATGCGCTCGATGGCGGCTGGTTGGGAGCAGAGGAAAGGAGATGCACTCAATGGCGCTGGCATGATAGCATGGATTGCATGGGGGCATGAAGTATAGGGCATCAACGCTCAGGTGCACTGTGTCTGCACAAAGAGCACTGTAGGGCATGAAAAGAAGGGGAAAGAGGATCAAAGAAGGCATGATGCGCTGTGTGGGGTGGCATGAGCGCTGAAACTCTGTCTGGAGCATCCAAAGGGCGCTGAGAGGATCAGCAAAGAGGCAAAGAGCACTGAAGGGAGCTGAGCAGCACTGTGGTGAGATCCAGTGAGCGCTCACTGACGCTCAAGCAGCCTGTCCAGTCCATCTTTGAGCGCTTGTAAGGTGCTCTCTACTGCTGCCTGGCGCAATTCAGCGTCCTCCTGCGCTGCAATGAGCGCCTCTAGAAGCGGTGCAAGGCGCTCTACCCCTTGATGGACAGCGTCCAAAGATGTCTGAATGCGCTCAAAGTGCGCCTCCTGGTTGGTGTCTAGTTGGCGCACTCTGGCGCTCATGCGCCTGAATGAGTCCTCCATTGGGCGCACTTGGTGCCTATTGCCTGCACTTGAGCCCTCTTCCAGTGCTGTTGGGTGCACTTGAGCTGAGCTGCGCTGTGGAGCGCCAGAAGGGCCAGCAACAGCATTGAGGCGCGCCCTGTTGGCAGCCTCCTCATAGGGGAACAGGTCTTCTTTCTTGAATGTGCAGTAGTCCCTGACAATCCTGCAGTCCACACAGCGCTTGCTTCTAGCCGAATGCTTCTCAAAGCGGCAGGGAATGTCTTTGCGGCAACAGTTATCACAGCGCTCTAGGCCGCTCTTGAAGTTACAGTCAGTGTCTTTGAGCGCCTTGAGCTTGACTGTCAGCGCATCTGAGAGCTCTTTCCACTTGTTTGGCGCAACTTCCTTGACTGCAGGTTGCTTTTCAGCACCTTCAGCACCTTCAGCTGGCTGCTCAGCGCTCTCTTGGTTCCTCTCAGCGCCTTTCCCTTTGTTCTGGCGCTTCTTGGTGCTGTTTCCTTCATCTTCACTGCCCCCGTCTTGAGCTGGGCGCTTCTTGCTGCTCTGAGCTGCATCTGAGTGCTCTTGACTGCCATGATGCTCATTTGGGTGCTCTTGGCCTTCCTCTGGTGTGGCTGGGCGCACTTGTTGGTTGGTTGACGCAGTTGGGCTTGCCTGAGCGTTCATTGGGCTCACACAGCGCTCTTGAGTGTCTTTTTGTTGCTGCTTGCTACTGCTGACCTCCTTTGAGTGCTTGTGCTGCTTGCTTTGAGGCACAGGCGCCTTCTCTGGTCCCTTTTGCTGCTTCTTGGTGCTCTTGTCTCCTGACAGGCGCACTTGGCCACCAGTACCCACATTCAGGCGCCCCTGGTTGCTGAAAAGTCCCTTTTGCAGCGGCTTGGGCGCACTTTCCTTCTTTTTAGGTGCACTTTGGTGCGCTTGAGTGTTGTCCTCCCTGGCAGGAGCCCCACCCAGCGCACTTGAGTCTTCAGTTGGACTGCTTGGCGCAGCAAGGGGAACTTGAGCGCCAGTGCCAGCAGATGAGCGCTCCTGGAGCGCATCTGGTGCTGCAGAGCGCTCCTGAGTGCTGCGCAGCGCATCTGCTTGGTGCTCCTGATCCTGGGGTGCACTTGGCAGCACTTCCTGGGCTGCAACCTCAGTTTGGCGTACTGTAACGTCTTCAGCATCCTGAGAGGCCTCTTCAGTGCCTGCTGGTGCATCTGAGTGCTCCTCCTGACTGTTGGGTGCACTTGGTCCATTCTGAGTGCTGTTGACACCCTCAGGGTGCTCTGCAGCGCTGATCTGGCTCTCTTCAGCGCTGAGCAGCGCCTCTGGCTGCTGAGGTGCGCTGGAAGGCACTGGTCTGCTGGTGACAGACCTTGTAGAGCGTCCTTTGGCTGGCATGGTGCAGTGAATTGCGCTGTGGAGCAAAATCTCACCATCATCAGCGCTCTGCTGCGCTTGCTGGCCATGAATGGCGCTCAAAGGCACTCACTTGGTCTGAAGAGCTGTGTAATGCTGGTTGTGCGCTGAAAGACACTGAAGTGCACTGTTGTCAAAGAGGATGGGGGATGGTGGTGGTAGGGAAGAAGGAGGGAAAGATGAACATGTTCACTTTTTCATCCTTTTCCTAGCTACATGTCTCTCATGCAGGCTGCTGACTTTGCTGCTCAGGTGCGCTGAGGGGCGCTGGAATGCCTTGAATGCTCCACATCACTCTGGCGCACTTCAGCGCCGCCCCAAAGTGCGCCAAAACACACCCTGGGGGCGCCCAACACAGCCACCTCCACATCACTCCAGCGCACCTCACTGCCTGTGCCCACCAGCCACAGCTCAGTGCTCTTCTGACGCCCTTCCACCTCCCTTCAGTGCCCCTTGGTGCACTTCCTTCCATCCTTCTCACCGCACTTGACACTTTGAAAGCCCATATCTCCATGAGTTTGCAACCCCACCCCAAACCCTT